GCCTGGTAAGAAAGCCGAAATGAGGTTTACCGTGTGAGATAATAATTAACGTAAAGCATATGCTAAACATAAGTAGAAATGTAAACAAATTAACGTATTTGTAATATTCCAACGAGTAGAAAAAGTAAATTTTCTGACGTTTTGTGACTCAGTGTAAGCCACTTCTTCAGAAAATAAATAACCGGATTACAGTTAATCTAAGTTCAATGATAGTAATATGTAAAAGAAAGATTGTGTATAAGGATATAATACGGGAAGAAAGAATTAGAAACAAAGGTATAAAGTAATTTTAATATTACTGTTTAAGGAAAGACAAAGAGTGTATACGCCTGCACCAATGTGATCGATTCTGAGCCGTGTCACCAAGAGTCTCCGACATTGGTTACGAGAGTCACGCGGACTCCGAACAAGTAGTCTGCATCTACCAACATGGCCCAAACTACGAGGGTGATTGGTTAACGAAGCAAAGCCACTACTTTACGAATAATTTCCTGTTATTTGCATTTGATACGTTACACTTTTTAAAGTTTGTGGGTTGTTATAACTTTGCTCGACGTTGGATTTTCGGTAGATATTAATTTGATGCTTTAGACACAGAATTCATGTTTGTTAGAGATCTTCTGGGAGCTCCATATGTAAACCCGCCAAGATCAATGCCACTAAAGACATTACAGTATTTTTGACGAACTCTATGGATAGAAACCATTTTATTAGGGTATTTAAACTGTGATAAAATGTTTGACTTTACTACTAGGTGACACCAGTTCAAAACATTACCAGGGCATCGGTGTCCAACAAGCTTATTGGTTATCCTTAGTTGCATTGAATTAAGATGACCTGTATAAATTCAAACATTTCCTTACTAATTAGAAAAAAAATACCTGTTGTACATTTTTATAATCAAGTATATGGTTAGTAGTGTTCTATGCTATTTGACTGGTTTTATTTCGTGAATTTTTGTACAGAAAATCTTTTTAACTGAAATAGATATAAACAATATTGGTAGCTCAAACCAAAAGAGCAAAATGCATTTGGATTATTGGCAAGGTTTCACTTCCTCTTATAACGAAAGTAGACACACTTCCAATCTCGTCTAGTACAACAAATTACCAAAATAAAACTATAAATGACATGTGTACATTAATAGATTGAAATTTGTCCGCTTTTCTTCATAACTAATGTTGAGTAAAGTTCAGTGAATTCAGTGATCCGACTTTTATTTCATAAATTCTGGTCCCTTGATAAATTTAACTAGAGCGCGAAGGACAAATTTTACAGGGATACGTGAGTTTATATTTCAAGTGTTCCCATCACTTACAAAAGGCCTAAATTTACGCAAGTAATAATATGCAAAAATTTCATTACATACCATTATTGATGAAGTTTGATATGAAAAGACATAAGAAACAGGAAGAATGAACATACTGAACATAATAGTTAAGATTGACTGGTATCTATATGTTAACGACAAAATCATGAAGATGGTGACGCTTTAACCGTTACTAAAGAGGCGATGCGTATAACCAATCGTAAATATGATGTTAACGTGAGATTCCTTAAACTGGCAAAACAGCTGAGATATGATTCATATTATTGCGAACAATAAATGTCATCAGAGTACCGCCTGTAAAATGTCACATCTTCAATTTCGTGTTTGTTTGGCCATGGTGACACTTGGAGAAGAAGCCAAAAGGGGAAAAAATTAGTATTGATAGTAGAAGTAGGAGGAATAGTGGGAATTGAAGAGGGAGATTGATTGTGAATACAGTGATCTTGGGTGTTGTTAGAGGTATGAGTGCAGTTACCACTTTACGGTTCCCCACACCGTGAAATGGTTCTTCTGAAGCTACCTGACCCGGCCGTTGCTTCTACATTAATGTGGTCAGAAGGTGAAGACGTACTGCTGAATGTACAGATGTGTGGAGGCAGTAAAGTGTTTCCTTCAAATAACCAGCATAAAGGCGATGCTGCCTTCCCGTAAGGAGGGGTGGGGTTAAAAAGGTCGACCATAAAAATGCACACGGATATCCGCCTCTGGCGGTAAGGTCTCAACAAGTGCGAAGTCAACACGAAAATTACTCACAAAAAGGTCGTGTTTAGCAGACCTCAGGCAGTTGTCGCTTGAGCACTGCGATTACGCTCTCAGGTCACTAACAATACCTCTAACTCAACTTCTTCTTCAGGTGCCTCCAGAAGAACTGACTTTGCCTCCTTGTTAATAATTAATTAGTGGAAATATTCATATGGTATATCACTTATAATCGTGTAATATGAGCCCATTTTCAAACAAATTGATTCACAGATTCCCTTCAACCTAACACTCTCACTTAACTTTCAGGTACATTATTTAATAATCATCCATCTATGAGTACCAGTATGAATAAACGATTCATCATATAATCAGTAAATTAAGTTCACGGCATGCCTCTCACCACTACACTCATGATGAACTACTTATTGTCAGCTGTGTATACAAAGTTCATTAAAATACCACTATTGTCTCATGACAAAAATATATTTATAAACAACAGTACATTTGTTTTGTAGATAACTGTAGCATAATTCTTCCACATGTATTGTTTTCCTTTGAATGTTAACAATGTGGGCACGTAATAAACCTGCCTTTCATACGTTTAGACGTTAATTACTAATAAAAACCATGCGTTTTGGTGACTTTTTAAGACATTTTGGTATACTAGCCTGTGTTTTATTACCATGATTGCACTTCCATTTATTCTCAAGTGACCTACAAATCTTTTTCATTCTGAAGTTTCAAATTTTAGAAACAGTAATCACGATTACATTGAAGTTTATATGTTGACCAGAACACCAATGGCCGACGGTGTATACAGACCACAGTTCTCAGGCCTGCTTATCAAATGTATGTTCTGAATAAGTATATTTGTGTTTATTCCTCGCATTTGAGTAAGTTAGCATCCGGGACGTCTTAAATGAGCGCGAGTTCAATGTACAGAAATTTGGTCTTTGCACTCAAATCATCGTCATTGTCGGTGCTGTGGCCCAAACTTGACCATCAGACCACATCATCTAGAAAGGAATCTAATTATAATATTCCCTTACTTTGACCAATAATTAGCGACAGTTATAAGTGATAATAATAATAATAGTTTATTCTCAAATAACAGTTTGTTACATGAGGCATGCCAGTTTACAGGCAAGATCAAATTGATACAAATGATACAATATTCACTGTAGTAAATTACATAGCTGGGTTGATAATTTATGAGATATGAATGTAGATGGTTTTAAGCAGTTATACAGTTAGCGCGCTTCATGAAAGTTGCGTTGCAAATGTGCGACTGACGGTCAAGGATAGGTCCATTGAAGGTATGAGCTTCTAGAAATCGCAACCTTATGTCCCTTTGGGATATCCAAGGCTTTGAGGATGGTGCAGGATGAAGTCACCCGTTCCATATCGGACATAATTTGTTTAATTACGGCCCCTTATCGAGCAAAATACGTCTTTAAATCGTGTTACGAACGTTGAATTGGTTTCACTTCCTAGCCAGAAATCCTATTACAAGCAAACTAGACAATTAGCTAATATACGAAGCCTACTCAAGACCCTATAATACCTGAAAAAATTAATAATACAAAAAAAAACGAAAGGGGCTCTAATAGCTTCAATAAAAAAGGAAGATTGCCAATTGCATATCACAATACTGTTTCTAGCACTATATTTTGTTTTACAACCACACATAATCCCATATTCTCAGCTCCTTTCCGAATCGCCTCCATTTTTGTCAGTTGTATGTCCACTCACACCTTGCTAAAGCTTATTTTCTTTAACCTATTAAAATGCTCTTTCTTAACAAATACCTTAATAAAAGAAAATTAGACTGAGTAACCGTACCTTAAACATTCCTTCATGAATATTGGCTACTCTGCCTCTCGTCCTTTCTTTTACTTGCTCCTTCTTTCAGCCCCCTTGTGATATGAAACGAAAGATTTCATCCTGCACCATCCCCAAAGCCTTAGAAATTCCAAAGGGACATAAGGCTGCGACTTTTAGAAGCTCCCACCTTCAATGGACCTATCCTTGACCATTAGTTGCACATTTGCAACGCAACTTTCATGAAGCGCTTCAACTGTAATACTGATTAAAACCATCTACATTCATATCTTATAAATTATCAACCCAGCTATGTAATATACTACAGTGGATATTGTATCATTTGTATCAATTTGATCTTGCCTGTAAACTGGCATGCCTCATATAACAAACTGTTATTTGAGAATAAATTATTATAATAATAACATTTAAGGTAGACAACAAGCTGGTCTCTAAATGCCTTTAGGAAATACAAACATCATACTCAAATCCGCATGATACCATTAAGCTTAACGGATGACTAGTCTATAAAATTCGAGGCATGTAAGATTTAATTGTTGTAATTACCACAGGTTTTACATTAACAAGCTACTCAATTAGGTTGGTATGTCATAGCGCACACTGATTATGGAAACATTGGATAAATATGAATGTTAGTAGAACTCATTTGTACAAAAGTTGGCGAGATCGTGCAGGTTGTGTTGCGAAAAGAAACTGATGATTGAGAATATATTCAAGCAAAGTCCAGAGCTACCTATAACAAGAAGCAATGCGGTAAATGCATAACCAGTAAGTCAAAGACGTCAACCTCGACGTTATATTTTTGGCTTCTCGATAGTGTATTCAGATAACTATCGGAAATATTAGTGAAGGCACAGGTCAAAGTCATATGTTCCATAGTCGTGTGTTTGTTGGTATACTACAACGGTGATAAAAAAAGAGATAGAAGAAGGGAAGCGCGAGAAACAGATTAGACAATGCTCATAACTAGTGAAGTTCAGTCATTTGTGACGGGGTAATTAAGGTATGACGACTTATACATATTTCCTTTTACTTAATCAAATCTTGAGTACGTGTGTTTCAACAGGCTAAAGAAAACGAACAAAAGTATGTTGACAACTGCACAAAAGACCTTATAAAGGTGGGTGATTCAACAAGGCTAGAAGTTTACGTTTGTGTATATCCTTAAGATTTAGTAAGGTAAATACGGTGTTTGGACACCAAATGGCACGTTTATTAGATGTTTATATAACTTGCTTTTATTACTTCAACTTGTGTAAAGTGATGATTGAACTTTTTAATGTAATCGTCTAGTCTTGCTTTTAATGGGGAGCTGGTTCAAGGCTACAGACACGAGTCAATGAGGTATTGGCATAAGAAATTAGCATAAATACCACTGGTTAGTTACACCTCGCTAAACTACAAGGAGCCGTAATTCAACAAAATATTCTGTCCTGCACACATAGATATATGTCGCAAGGTACAGTTAATTCACTTATGCCCACTTATACGCAAATACATGTATACCTATTTATTCACATTCTCACAACAGCAGTCGCAAGTGTGTTTAAAAATTAACATACTTTGTGCTGCTAATTCCACGATTTACACAGTAAAAAATTTTATGCGAATTCAGTGGTGTCTAATGGAAACAATTTGTTTCAAACGGATATACTGACCAATTGTGGCATATTTACTAACTGATGATCACTTTTTACCTGATTTCGCGCTTGTTACATTTTTCAGTTGGTCTCATTTAGTTCTGATTGCTTTAAAATGTACTATTTCGAGGATTCGTAGTAACAACATTAATTGGAATACTTCTAATTATCATACTGATATCTCAATTAAGTCAAATCGTGAGCAGCTGGATATTAATTAAAAGACAAATGCTTTTGAGGAACATCAAGAAAGGTTCAAAGTCCAATGCCTGACTAGAAAAGATGTTAAAGATGATATAGAATCTGACATCTTGCTGTTATTTGAGTAAACAGTTGTTAGCTCAATTTCGTGATCGGTTCATTGCTGGAATAAATATACTAAACATAGAAAAAGAAATCATTCAGAAACTTAAAAGCTCATCATAAAAAATTAAAACAGCATGTATCAACTATGAGGCGGTAAATGAGCTTGATTTCCTGTCAGTAAAGATTTCTAGCACTTTTTTCAGTCATCGTGATGAACTACATTCTCAATGTCACCTAAGCTCTCGTTTGTTCAAAAAAGACTCCCATTCTCGTGGAAATATAAAAAGTGATTCAACAAGGAATTTCAAAACAGGTTATAGGTGGGCACAGGTTTGATATATATTTATCCTGTGGTAAAGTTTACTTACACAATTCATGTTGTAGGGCCAGCAAAATGTCACTAAGCCCTAGCCAAATCATACGGCAGTTGGGTCATTGAATATCGAGTGAATCATCGATCCTCGTCTAGGCCAGGGGCAACCAACGCGCATCAGTTAGTCGTATGCCATGGACTGGCCCATTCGGCAGTGGTCTCACTTTCGCTTTTATCTACTTTAACTAATATATTTCTGTAATAACGTCCTCTGTGTTGTACAGTCTTCATAGCATCTATGGTACCTTGATACGTCAATGGGGTAGTCCACGCAAGGTGCTGACCACGAGGTGTGACTTCGACATCAGCTAGTTTGTCACACCATTCACGTCTAACTCGAGCAGGCCTCCAATCATTTCGACATAGATCATCTACGTTGGTGATCTGCAATGTCTTTCCTTATACTAAATGTTTCAACTGTAGTAAAAGTAAACTCATAGTAGATTAACAAAATTACTGTTCATTTCGTCACTATGGATGATGAACCCTGCAATGCGGTAGGTGTGTTTAAGTTGTATAACTTTACAGAGTGTCCAGTAAGACTAATGAGGTCAGAACAAATGTCGAAGACCTAAAGAAGTGTTTATATTAGAAATTTATTTACTGCTACACATTTATCCTAATAGTGACAACAATCTATTCATTTGTTATTGGGAAAAATATCTGATCATTTAACGATTACACTACGAAATAACTCATACTCGACACTCAGAGGTTCAAAGACTTAACCGTCAAATATAACCCCTGTCAAAACTTCTCTAATATCAAAATGCTAGTCGCTTTAGGAGACTGTGAGCTGCCGCATCGCAGTTGCTTTAATATCGTTATTGAAACTTTAAGTCCTTTAACACCCAGATATAGTATATGTAATGGCAATGGATCAGGAATTGGGACAGTTATATCCACAGCCAAAGAGCGAAGACAAAAGCTCATGGAACTCGAAATACAGCAAGGACATTTCCAAGTGACTTCTCAAAAATATAACAGTCAAAACATTTGCGAATTGTCAGGCTGAAATCTATTATTATGGCACCCAAAATATCATCGCAGTTGAGAAACTTTGCATTGTGAAATCATGTTTGTTTTATGTGAACAAAATCAAGGCACTTATTCACTGACAATTTATCATTTTAGACTTTCTGTTGATTTGGTCTTTCGGTGATAACACTTGTTCTAGGTGCTGTAACTGTCGTTTAATATCAATGTGCCGATGTTTTGCTTTCGGGATAACAAACGGTTGAAATTATTGTAGTAATTTTTTGCTTATCGACAACAAAGTTGCAGCATAAATTATTCTACTAAACTCCACAGACTGGCTCGATCATGATAAAAGTGTAATTGAACTAATAGTTTGTTTCCTGTTACAGGATTTTATTTAGTTGTAACACAGAGATGCTTTTTCATCTTAAAAAGACTGCTGCTATACGATCGAAACACAGTTCGCGCGCTAGTACAATACTGGTGGATGGTAATGAACGTTATTGGATATGGGACACGAGTTAAATTTCATGTCAGTGACAAGGTTGTAGCGATTCGCCATTTTTTGTTTGCCTACAAAGAAAATCAAACGTTCAGCGCGTTCGATGAGGTTAAGTGTGATGAGAATATCATTTTTTCATCCAAATACTACAGTATTAATTAAATTACTCAATCATCATCAACGAGTGAACAACACTGCAATTAGTTTATCATTATATTACTTTTGCATTATTCGTAAAGTTATCTTTTCACTGATGAGACTAAACCAAATAAAAGACTTTGAAGGTTATCTTTCACAAATAAATTACACAAAAATCCGAATAATGATCTATCTATAAAGATTAAACAGATGCCAATATTTTAAAAATGATAGGTTGTTTCATAGCTGTAGGCGTTTAATGGAAGTGCATCAATGCACGAGCTTGTAATAATTTGTTAGACAACTGAAATAAGCCATAGTTTCTTGTGTAGTGATAAGCAGCTCCCTAAAATAACCCTCTATTATCCGAAAACTGATTTTGACCTTGTCCGGTTTAACAGATAATACCGAATGAATGTATTCAATCAAGCACCAAAGAAGAGTCTAGAAATAGCCCACTAGAGAAGCTACCGTTTCATCAGGTGTTCGGTTTAGTGTTCTTAGATATACCTACTTCTAACCGTATTGCAACGTATCTGTCTACTAATCCTTATTATTTTCCTCCTAGTTTACTGCAGATATACAATTCTTTAGTTGTTTTGGATTTGAAAAAAGTTAGGTTCTGTCATGATAAGCTCGTATTCACATATGTGGAGAATAGATGGCTGAAGCTTTTCATCGAGCTTTTAGTTTTATTTGATATCAGCTCGATCACGACAAATAAAAAAGGTAGTCAGCAGGCCACGAACCAATGAATGAGGAAAATATGCACACGTGGTATGTTTTCGTTTTCGACCACTACGTTGTGTAACAGTTATTAACCGGATAAAGCCAAAATGAGAGAAACGCCAATTTACGGTCTATGTATAAATCAAAACTGTATACAATGTGTAAGTGTGGAGAGTAGGCAATATATTTAAATATGGCCTTTCGAAATATCATATCGTGAACATCCTGCCTCGGTCAACACAAAGAACCTAAACTCTCAATGGAAGGTCGCTCTTGATTGACTCTCTAGAGCATGATCCCGAAGCTTGTAACAAAAGAAAGCCTAGACACCAGTTCAAACACGATGGTAAACTCAACTCCCCTACTTTATTTGTAGACAACTTCAGAGGTTTTCCTGACGCCGTTTAGAACAACCTTTCTGCCTCTTCTTAAGTTTCACCATGTCATTATGCCTCCTCTCTCCAAAATAGATAGAAATCTCTTAGACCAAGTACAAAGATGAGTAACCAAGTAGGTGATAAGGCTAAAACACAGATCTTTCAAGGACAGACTACAGAACCTACGATCATTACCTCTGAGCTGCAGGGGAATAAGAGGTGACCTGATAATGAAACACAACATATTAGGTATGCCGAATCGCCTAAACACGAACATATTCCCAGACCATCACTGATCTCCGCGAGGCAAATGGTGAGCACCAAAGTATGCTCTTACGTTTTTCCATTATAAGTTGCCTGCATTCGAAACGGTCTCTTGGTCAAAGTGATCACATCCCCCTCAGTGGATGAAGACTTGACAAAAACGTATTCATCCATGGACTACCATCCCACGCTTAGAAGAACCTTGTCTGAAACATATCACAAAATTTACCATGGTTATCATTACAACACATCAGTAACTACTTCTTATCTCTCTTATCATTATCTTCGTTTTCGTTTTATTCTTCTAGTTTCGTTCTCTGACAAACTATCAGCTAGGTAAATTAGTTATCTATCCTTAATTATAAATACCTTCTCATAGCACGTAAATTATCACATTATTTTCACATTGCAACCAACCAAATTCCTGTCCGATAGTTTGATATTCGTTGGTATTCAGAAACCATGATGTTCTGAGACAAACCTAGTGACTCAACTACAAAATATAATAATCCAACAATAAATACCACACTGAATAGAATTGATTCAGTCGAGTCACTGGATTATCGCCTACAAGCTTAGAAAATAGATATTGGATTAACTTTTGTTTATCTAACTTAAAAGTCCTAGATACCTAGTACAAGCTGTTTGCTTGTTTAAAAATACAAGTTTACATGTAATTTCTGCTCACAAGACTCAAAACTCAAGAAATGTATGGTTATTTTGACATCTGATATCATTCAATCGACGTTTGTGTGATAAGTTTGTTCACAAGGGTGGATCTTATCCACAACGTTTTATTTCGCGGATTAATTATGACAATGTTATACGACCATCACTAAGTTAATAAAATTTGAGAACTAATCATACGGGATGAGTCAAAAGACAGTGCTTGGTTTTCGTTTTGTTAAAACGATTCAGGGAGTGACAAAGGGATCTCGGAATTATTTTGACCAAAAAACCTACTTGAGCTTCCAATTTTAAGGAAATTTTGGGGAAATCCCTAAATTCAAATGACCTTGACCAAGATTAAAGGAGAATTTAAAGGATTCCTTCACGTCTGGGGAAATTTTGGGGTTTTTGTGGCGTTTTCACAAATTTTACTGTAGCGGCTTCCCCAAAACGTGCCAAAGTTTCCCCAAAATTGGGAGCTCGGGTAGTTTTTACAAACATTTTAGTTTGTGAAGTGATAATACAACAGAAATTATTCGTTTATCCAAAAATTAAGATAACTGGCCGAAAATTTATTAGGATCAGACAATATGAACACATTCGGCCGAAATGGTTGTTAGTCCCTGAAACGTAACATTTGGGACTACCTTTACATCGACATGCTGACTGCTTTTTTCTTTGCGTTTTGTTATTATCGTCAGCCATCTTTGGCAATAATACCTCAGAATATGTAGATGACTAGATAATTTTTTGTATGATTTTTCTGTTATCAGCCATAAATATATGTATATATATGTGTGGTTGATAGTAATCTACAACCCTATGTGGTTGTAAATTTCAAGAAACCACACAGTCTGTGTGTACTCATTTTCTGGGAACAAAAATAAAGACGGTTTAGTAGTAATTTGAGTAGGGATTTCTCCAGGTGCAGATATTTAGATGAAATTAGTATTTAACTCGTCTATGAAGCCGCATACGTAGTTCATAAAAGCTGATGACTAATACTAAATAATTTACAAATTAAAGAAAACTATCTTCCAATTACTTTTATCTACATAGAACCAAAATAGTGAGTTTATATCTGAAGTCACCTGGCTTTACTAACTGTGGTTCTAAGTAGAGAACATAAATAAATGACCAAAAATTACTGGACAGTTCCAACTTAAGAAGATCTATTGTCTTTTCCAACTGCCTGTTAAGAAATTGCCTATATACTTGGTAATAGTAATTCGTAATTTACTTAGGACAATATACCAAAGTGATTAGAAATTTTTTCTCATTTCCAAACATTGGTTATACATTTAGTTATGTTGCTTAGATTCACCTGTTCGTATGAAGAATCATGAACGTGGTTGTGTATTTGAATATAAAACTCCAGCAACAGTTATAAAAATAAATAACTAAATTAAATAATTCATAGCTTAGAACTGTGGTTCAAATGGATGATTTCAACGGAATTCTATTTTCTAAACTGGATGGTTTGACTGAAAAGCTTTTATCGTCTTTCTAAACAGCATTCAGGTAAATGATCTAGCAAAACACACATTTAGTATTTTAACTATCTTGCCTATTCTGCATGGATGACTTAAAGTTCGGTTTGTTTTTTCGTTTGCTTGTCTACTCTATAATAAGATTTTACTCATGATTGACAAGTACGCAGAAAACTAGATTATCAATAAATAGACTCAAAACCAAATATGGACAGTATTTCCATTTGAAAGCAAAATATCTTCGGATCACACTACACACTATGTAATTTAAAAGTTAGCTTGAGCACTATTATTTCCATATTACTAGTTTATGTCTGTGAAACCAGTTTTCGTCATGATAATTTTAGAAAGCACTTTTTCAGTTAAACCAAATTGAAGTAAACACAATACCGTTTACTAAATAATCGCTAACTCCGGAAATGAAAACAAAAATCAAACATTTATATACATAATGAAAAGTGTGAAAGCAGACTAGACATTATGCTAGAAAGGTAAATATTGGAAATTTTTTGTTGTAAAAGTAGAATAAAGAGAATACTTCCTTTTACAAGTCTTTTTATGATTTTAGTATTTTTGAACTATATACTACATCTTGTCTGCTTTCTCGACCCTTTCTCATAAACCAAAAGTTTGGTTACCTTTCATCTGATTGAGTCCTTTAGTCACTTGTTAAATACAACAAACCACCATCTACCTTTTTGCACAATGTTGGACAACATAGAAGTAGGCTAGTGAAACGCTTCAGTCAGTCAAACGAAATATTGACCCTTATCATTGATTACTGTAATGAGTAACATCGGTAACATTAGACTCCGGAGTTCTTCTTTTCTTGATAAGCGTAATTCATATCCCCGATGTTTAATAATATGGCCTAAATTCCGTATCCGTAACCCAATGAATTCCACTGAAGCAAATACATTTATGTTGTTTATTAATATATGTAGTATACAATGGGTTTACCGACGTAATTTAGTCAGCATGTTAGATCGTTAGAAAGCCTTTTTTGTTCGAATTAAGTAATGATCAGTAACTTTTTCATTTTTTATTACTTAATTCATATTTATAACAACCTAGTCAGCATGTTTACAGTAAATATTATTCTTACGTCTCCGGAAACGTTTAGAAACCCATTAATTCACTGTACATATTTGAGATATTGATGTCGTTACAATTCGTATGTTTTATTGCTTTTTGTGTTATAATCTGTGCTTTGTTCGTTCGATAGATTGCAGATTTTAGTACAATATACAACTTAAGCATTCTCCCACTGACTATAAATCAATAGAAAAACAGACAAAAATGGCACCAAAGAGAAAAAAGAAAACCGGGAAACTAACAAAAATGACTGATGAAGAGAGAGCGATTTTCCTTGAACAACAAAGAGTTGCTGAAGAAGAACTAAAAACAAAAAGATGGCACTGTTATCTCAATATCTACAAGTCAGTTTTTAATATAATTCCCTTCAATTTGAAAACTGACAACTGTTAATATAGGATAAACTTATTCATGAAGAAAAGTTTACTAAACTTAATAAAGCAAAACTGACACATTATTGGCGAACTATTATGAGAGAGACGAAGTCAAAAGAATTGAAAAGAACTATAGAAATATTATCACAAACATTTGAAAGAATTATGGACCGGTAAAGCGTCAATGTCTTAAAATTTTTATCAATTTGTTTGTTCAAAGAAAAGAAAGTATCATCAAAACACTTGTTGCGGATCTTAGTGAGGCAGATGAACAGCATTTGATGGCTCTGCGTTCTCATCTACAGAATGTAGATATTTTAATAGGTAGATAGCATTTTTTTTGTTTGACCTAAAGAATTTATACTAGTTGACTGTTTCATCATGACCTGTATATCACACCCAACAGTTTTTTTGCCCTTAAATTTGTTGGTTGCATCTGTCGATTAGATAGTCTTGGATGAAAGATATGAATACTACTCGAAAATATTTGACTCGTGGTAATAAAGCTTTTCAGGTTGCAGTATTAATAATCTCACGTATAAACGAAAAGTAAGAGGAACATATTTGTGGCATTTAAATCAATTTAACCTGCTAGCAAGAAACGTCTGTCAATTTACGATGCAGTGTCTTATTACTTATGGGTCAGTCAGTCAGTCAGTAACAACGTAGAACTTCGTACGTACGTACATCAGTTCGAGTTGCCACACCACATTAGCACAGAGATGCACTTGTCGATTCAAATCCCGTCGTGGTAGAGGTAATAAGAGTATAAGCAGTAATCGGGAAGATTAGGGTTTGGAGATGTTATTTAAAGAGTATAATCCAGTGAAAGAAATTTGGAAAGAGGAAAAAAAGGGACATGAAGAATTCAGAAGATTAGAATTTGGGAGAACACAGAGAGTGGATGCACCTGCGCCATTGCAAACGATTTTGAGCCATGTCATTCAGGGTCTCTAACCAACGGTTGCTGTCATCTCGCGGTCCCCAACCAGGTAGTCTACACCTACCAACATGACTCAGTTCACTTGTCAGTGACTTCATGGACTTGTGCCATGTTTTGGTTTGGCCGCCCCTAGCTTTCTTCCAACCTACTCCTATACCACTGAACATAGCACGTCGAGGCAGTCGGTCGTTGGGCATACGTAACACGTGTCCCAGCCATCTCAACTGATGAAGTTTCACTACGTCATCAATTGATTTGCCATCCTTACCTAGTACCCGTTTCCTAACAACTGTGTTACTTACTCGATGGTCCCATGATATATGAGCAATGTTTCGAAGACACCTATGATCAAATACTAGTAACCTACGGATATCCTCTACTCTTACCGGCCATGTTTCACTCCCATAAAGTAGGACGGAACGAACTGCTGCGCAGTAAACACGTCCTTTGGTTGATAGACGGATATCTCGCCTACGCCATAAATGACGCAAGTTGGCAAAAGCTAGTCGAGCCTTCTGTATCCGTGCTGAGATTTCGTCACACACTAAACCACAAGGGCTGATGAGACTTCCAAGATAAGTGAAGCGGTCGACACACTCAACTACTTCACTCCCTATCACTAGTTCGGGTGTCGATGTAACCCAATCCTGAAGCAACATTTTGCATTTCGAGGGAGAGAATCGCATCCCGAACATGCTTGCATTGTTGCTTAGAGTGGCCAGAAGACTCTGCATTTTGTCAGTGTCTTCACCAAATAAAACGATGTCATCAGCATATTCTAAGTCAACAAGTGAACCTCCTGGTAGAAGTTCAACCCCTGTAAATTTAGATGAGGAGAGTGTTATCTCTAAAAGTACGTCGACCACAAAGTTGAACAAGAATGGGGAGAGTGGACAGCCCTGACGAACACCACTTGAGGTGATCAATTCTGATGACAGTTCGCCATAAGCTCTCACTCGACCAGTTGTGTTCGAGTAGAGAGCCTTTATAAGGTTAATGTACTTCTTTGGTACTCCTTTCAGTGACAAACACTGCCATTATTACTTATGGGACTCGCTAGTATATTAATTAATTCTACTAACTACTCTGTTGTGAGGATCGTATTCTATAGAATCTTACTAAGCAGATTAATAAAGGAAATCGTAGTGAACTTTTGAATAAATATTCGAGAATTTATTTATGTAAAATTTAACCATACAATATAGTTCAATCAGTCAACTTTTTAACAGAATTTCTTTGCGTAATAACCATACATGTAACAATTGATTATCCGATGAGATATCAATATTGCGATATAATAGCATTAAATCATATTTACTATCATTATCACGATGTGATATATTTGACCAACACTATTTGGATTATGTAATGAGTAGCTGAAGACATTGTTGTCCATCAGTGATGTTTATCATTATCATGAGTAATTCATTATCGTCAACCACTTGAACATCCATTTCGCTCATAATAGTCAGTCATCACTATACTGTTTGTGGTATGGATGAAGAATTAAGCTATAAAATCAGCTTTGCACATTGGTTGTCATTGTTAGAGAGATATGTCCAAAAATACTATATTTATATGCAGGCAGATAAAGGGGTATTACGCTAAACTGTACCGTATTATTGGTTTGTTGGTTATACTATTGAAATTAATGGTTGTCATTTGGTTGACGTTCATTTGTGACAATTAGGACTTTTACTGGTTATCAGTAAAATTTCAGACGTTTTTGATATCATACAAGTTACAAACAAATCACAAGGTAGCCACTAAAAATTACGGTATGTGGTAATAAAAATTCATAATCATGCACAGTTGACGACTGAAACTGAAACACACCTTGTCTGTATAACAAAACTAAATGAAAGTATTGTGATGGAATCGTAGAGGGGAATTCATAAACTAATAAAAAAAAAATGAAAAAACCGTTGGTTGAAAGTACTTCTAAAGAAATACGAACTCAAAGACATTTTATGAATATAGGTAAATTGATTAGACAAAGGTCGTATTTGCTAAGTGGTCTCGATTGCTGATGGTTCTAGTCTTACACAAAAGACAAAAATCCTCTCATGGCAGCCACCAAGAAATCAGGTTGACTAATATAGTGTCTAAAACACTGTAATTCACCAACGCTTAACTAGGCTCGTGAAGAGCGAACTCGATTAAATCATGTTGGTTTTAATACTGAACATGGATGTGTAGACTAAACATTCACTCTTTGCAAGATTGTGGAACACAGACATACCTAACAACTTCCATCCCTAGTTGTTTTCCTCGTCCTTAAGGCAGTGTTCTCCTCTTTAAATCGACAAGTTATATTGGCATTTACCATCATTTAAAGAAAAACGTCAACATCATCTGGAATTCATATGGTGGATTACAGTGCAAAGTGGTGCATGGAAGACAGCTGACGGATGCTTTCCAAGTAAGGACCAGAGCCAAACAAGACTGCCTACTCTCCCCTTCCTCTATCTTCTGGTGGTCGATTGAATTATGGAGACTTCGACGTCTGAGAGGAAGCATGGAATATAATAGACAGCTCGGAATCAATCAGAAGATTTGAATTTTGCGGATGACCTGGCCCTTCTATCCCATACACATCAACAAATGCAGATGAAAACAACTAATATCGCAGCAGCCTCTGTATCAGTAGGCCTCAACATACACAAGGGAAAGAGCAAGATCCTCAAATACAATACAGAGAACACCAACCCACTCGCACTTGATGGAGAGGTGGAAGAGGTGGAAACTTTCACGTACCTGGGTAGTATCATCGATGAACAAGGAGGATCTGATGCAGACGTAGAGGTGAGGGTTGGCAAAGCAAGAACCTGATTCATATAGCTGAAGAACATATGGAACTCAAAATAACTGTCAATCAATATCAAAGTCAGAATCTTCAATGCGAACGTCAAGATAGATCTACTGTACGGAGCTGAAACTTGGAGAATTACCACAACTATCATCAAAAAGATACAAGTATTTATAAACAACTTTTTACGTAAGATTCTGAATGTCCGTTGGCCGGATACCATCAATAACAGCCTACTATGGGAGAGAACAAACAAACTTCGAGCTGAGAAGCAAATTAGCAAAAGACGTTGGAGGTGGATAGGACACACATTGAGGAAATCATCAAAGTGCATCACGAAGCAAGCGCTAACTTGGAATCCTAAAGGGAAACAAAAAAGAGGAAGTACAAAAAGCACACTGCGTCAAGAATTGGAAGCAGATATGAAAAGGATGGATAACAACTGGAAAGAGCCGGAAAGGAATGCCCTGGACAGAGTTAGATGGAGTGTTTGGGAGTAGCCTATGCTCTTCGATGAGTGGTAAAATGCGTAAGTCAGTAGTTCAGTATCATTTAAAGATGTATCAAAGGAATATATTACTTTGGTCAAAGTTTTCTCGAATATTATAATATTGGATCAAAGCATGTAGGAAACTTCCATCGTAATTGATGATTTCAAGCGCAACAACGATGTACACATGTGCAAGGCTTTACAATAGGTTGGACCGACTTCGCAACATCGTTCATCAATAGAAATACTTAAAGTTAGGTGACATATAGTGTCAGCACTGTTTTCTTCTTCAGCACGAAATGTAAGTACATTCTGGATATTCACAACATTCTCCAACATTCATTTTATAAAATTCACTAGCACATACTTCTATAGTGAATCCGTAATCATTCCCTTACAAGATCAGTCGTCCAATTAAGTCCTTCTCATTGAGTAATTAATGGTTAGGAAAATACTAATGACTGATTCGATTTTGTAGCTGTCTTATATAAAACAGTTTAATAAGGTGGAATTTAACATGCTTTATTTCAATCAATATGAAATAAGGAGTTGATGATCATCATTACGTAACTATAGTGGTACTTAAACAAGAGTTAATAAAATAATTTTGTCCTATTTGTTAGATGTAATTAATTTTCTCACTTCATCTTTCTTATTAAAAATAGATTTACAAAATCAAAGATTACATAAATTAAAAACTAATTATGAAAAGGAATTGCACTCTTTGGTAGAAGAATTCTTAAAAGGTAGATCGTATACATATATTCTGTATTTAAAACTGTTCAAATAACATACTTTTCCGCAAATCAGAAGAAAACTTTACTAAGCAACAACACGATAAACAAGTCAATGACTTAAAAGATATATTTGTTGCACTGGATTCTACATATACTGCCAAAGCACATGAAGCTGTAATTGATCAGACTAGTTTGAAGGATGATCTGAAGAATAAAGTAAGTCAATTGATATTTCGATGAATTTTATTGACTTTGAATTTAGCACTTTAGATATCACTCATGTTACTAAGACAATAAAGTAAAAATACAGTTCACTTGACCTAGAATCCACAATTCTTCATCCCAGTACAGTTAAGTAATATGCTTATATCCGATTTAAACTGACATGAACTTTTAGGTAATGTATGTTTTGATTAGTTTTAAAAATCCCTCTACTCTCACGCTTAAAATCAAACAACAGAAGGTTAGACGAGTGATAACAACGAGAAGCGAGTGATAACATTTATCTTTACCATCCAGATTTCTGGTTGTATAAGTACAATACCAAGGTGTAACATTCAGCTTTTAAAAATCTTTATTCATGCATAACTAGGACATTACTTTTACAAAGCTCTGTAACATTAATTATAATTAAGTGACTTTAGTTGATAAAGTATAGACGATATTACAGCAATAACCAAGTTAAGCGTTTGTAGTGGAATCATCGAGTGGGTAGTGATAAAGTTGCTCAGAAAGATTCAGATAAAGATGAATCGGCTGATAAAATCATATGCAACGGTGATCATTAAATTGATTGAGAGATGTGATACTGTGACGTGTGCTGCTTATGTCGACAGACATAAATAGTATGTAACATTGTTTTGTCACCGTATCCCACTTTAAAATAATTAGCGTAGGCCGAAGAGATTTACATTAAGCTAAACAAGTGAAGATTAATTAATGCAAAATGGGAGGCCACCAGGCCATGTGGAGGTTTACTTTTATCCTAACGTCGAAAGTAAAGGTTGAAGACTGTTAGTTGTATTGTCGAAAATAGACTTCAGATCCTCATTTATTACGTTCTCCGCCTTTAAATTTTAGTTTTATGCACATATATAATGTCTACTCATATATTATTCATCGTTTGGTTTTTAATCCTAGAATGTTCATTAATTTTTTATTTGAGGATAATATTTATCATGAGCTGATATCAGACTATTGGGTAAATGAAGAGATATTTCGCGTAACTGAGAACTCTCGATCAATGTGAACCAAATGGTGCTACATAGAATCGATCCTAGGACCTCCCAGCTTCACAGAGAGAATTTTATTTATACACCTGAGTTAGAATTCATTGGTTTAGATATTCAACTTCTGTGAATTTTGACAGTGTTATGCCCAATTAATTTTGTTGTCAAGGTATCACTTCACTGCCGATACGGTTGACTTCAAACCCTGTGATGCTAATTTGTGTGGATTTTAATATAAATCTGATGTATTTTATCTCTTTTCTAATTCACTGCCATCCACAAGCTTGATTAAACTTCTGCTACGTAAGTTATGTTACTTAAATTTGTTATATGTAGTAAACAATGATTCGCATATATTTTTCATATAGAGTTTGGAAGAAAAACATACATTGAGAATAAATTTGGAGAATAAGGTCAATAGTTTGTGGTCTGAATTCAAACAGGCTTCCACTCAATACACAACAACTACCAATGAAAAAAAGACATCTTTCGAAAACTTAAAAGCAAAAGATGAACGTTCAGCTGCTGAAATTCAATTACACTTAAACAAAATCCAAAAAATCAATGATAATATATCGGCTACTAGACGTCGTATGTTAAAAATATCTAAAGAATATGAAGAAAAAAATCGTAACTTAAAAGAAGAACGTGATAAGTTAGTTGTTCGATTTCAAGTCTTGAAGATACAAATCAATAAATTACGTGATCTACAACATGAAAAACTGGTTAAAATGTCAGTTGAAAGTGGGGATGCTATAAAAAAGGTAACTGTGAAAAATACTAATTGTTAGTATTTCTTATGAAACTACGTAGTCATGAATAGTAGATTTTTTAAAATTCTCATTTATCAGTGCTAACTAAAATTTAAGACAGTTCAAAGTAAATGACTGCCTAGCTTATTCTAATAAGAGGATGGATTCAATCACAGTTAGCATCTCAAAGAGGGAATAAGCTACTATGAAATTTACAAATGAAAGCTTAGTAAAATCAATGTAGTTACATATTCAGTTTTTATTTGCTCTTAAACGTTTGTACTGTAAATGAATTCATGCAATTTCTAAAAAAATTTAAATACAGGTTCAATGTTTATTGGCAAAAGCAGAGAAAATTATTAAGTTAGGTGAACAGTGCAGAAAGTATGAGACAGAAGAGGAAAAAGTTACACCATTCTATTCATCATCTTTATCAGCGGAAGAAGAAAGTGCTGTGCAAGAATCGTTCGAAAAAGAACAGAATGAAGAGATGATGAAGGTGATATGTTTTTAATATTTCCTTTGTTTTATCAGTTTTCTTACTTTTCGGTTTGAATATATATATATATATATATATATATATATATATATATATATATATATATCAGTTAGAGCAGTTTATTTTCTGAATGATATTCAGCTGGTCTTTTATCGTTTCATCTTTTGGTTTGCATAAAATTGAAGTGCTCCTACTGCCTTGTGACCAACGCCTGTTCCCAATGCATTTGTGACTTCCTTTATTTTCTGTATATGTGGCAGGATAATTCGTTTTTTAGTTTCAATATTCGATTTTGTACTTATTGATGGAGTTGATAAACATAGTGGCTGTCCTGTTGAAAAGATCGTTTTATTTTGTTCCTCAGTTTTTGCGTGGTAGTTATACTGCTATGTCTTCGCTCTTCCGAATAGCAAGTTTGTATGCAGTTGTTTTTGATCAACTTAGAATTAGTGCAGCATAGGTTGGATTATGATACACAAGAGTCTCTGGTTTCCTTGTACTGATTCTGGTGATCAACACGTCTAAGAAGACTAGTCAGTTGTTTGCTTTCTTTTTAAAAATGAATTTTATATCATCAAGTATGTTATCGATCAAATTATAGGCGTTTTCGAGCTTAGCTATTAAACCAACCAGGTCGAGAAAACGTAGCTTCAACAAAAATCATCATCGTGAGTTAGAAAATCTTCACCTTCATCCCACATGTTTTCTTTTCAAAAAGCTCACATATGTCAACGGAGAACAACCAGTTTAGATGAGCAATTATTTCTGTGTGAAAGTTTTTAATTATTTTTAGCTAATAAATTAATTTATAATAATATTCTGTTTTGATTTTTGAAAATTTCAGATATTAAAACGATGCCTTCCACTTGAAATGTTTTGGAAAAGATTTAATAAAGTTCAATTAGATCGTTTAGCAATAATTAAAGAACACAATATGTTAGAACAAGAAAACATTCAATTAAAATTATTATTGAAACAATATTTAGACGGTATATCAGTTAATAGTGAAGTTATATCTGGTGATAATTCATTAATTGTTATAAATGGACGATCAAATTTAAAGTGAGTTTTATAAATCTGATATTATTAACCCTTAATGGATATTTGTTTTCTGCTTAAGTGATTATTGATTATAATGTTCTACATTTAAGTGTTATAGAAACTTAATTAGTAATTGAATCTTGTTACCAAAGTTTTAACGCACGGAATAGTTTATTACTCTTACTATAAAGCCCAAGCCTGTTGTAAAATGTTTGATAGTAGCGTCTTTATTGTCCCATATCATCACAGTAAATCTAATACTCGAAGTATACGCACCATTAATTACAGAAAATCTTCACTTTTATAGGATGTCTGAGACTGTACCAAAAAATCAACTGATATTTACTCGTAAATACTCGAAATAGATTTCCGATAGATCACGAATATGTTCGCCGTCTCATACAGATAGTAGTGAAAACCAACATCACCAATGGAACTGGAATTTTCTATCGATGACATTTTGACACATGAAATTGATATGGGATGCAAAAGTGTTACCTCACTTCATTTCCTTCAGTATTCCATAATTTAACATAAGATACAGTGTAACGCAGTAACTATAAACCATATTCTGTTTCTACATAAAAATCCAATGTTACAATCGATGAATTTCTAACGATCATGGTTATCCCTAATTAATTTAGTATACCTGCAAAAAATGACATATTTTTTTCGTGTTTCTTTATTTTCTTTTAAAGACACATGAGTATAATAGATGATCCACGAATCAGATTGATATCTACTGATGATGACAGTGTACAGCCGAAAGAAATGATAAACTATGCTACTACTCCCGCCGCAGTTGACTATCGAATAAGACAGACAACTTAGACAAAAGGATTCTACAACAAGAATAATATAAAATCCAAGGCAAAACATAACAATGATGAGGATTTTATGTGATTTACTATATGCCTACAAAGTAATACAATGCTGAATCAAATTAAAGAAGTGGCTGATATAGAAATACATTGTTCATAATAAACGTTTTGTTTCTCGTTGAAAAATTTATTCAGTTAACTAATTACCAAACAGATAAGCTTTAAGGGAAACCAGTGCTATGAATATTATAATACTTTTATGGCATTTTAATTGACTGAAGTAGTTAGGGCATATTTCAGGCATGGATAACCACCGCTTTCGTCGATGCGATTTTAGACAGCATAGTAGTTGGTTGTGAAACGTTTAGGGACAACTGTATCATGAAATTATATGGATTCACATAGTCTGTTGTAATGTGCCAAATGGTTTAGACTTCTTCGTTGAAGTTGTCCTTATTAAAGGTTTTTTGGTGTTAATTTGAAATGCGACAAATATTCAAAGTTAAAAATCTTTGAGTCATACATTTGTCTATTCGACAATACAGTTTATGATGTTCACAGATCTTCAAACTGCTTGAAAGAGAAAACAACTCGAGGTGCATAATTACTAGCTGTTTCTTGGTTTGTATGTAACAATTGGAATTGACCGTTGTCCTAATCGACATTGAAACATGAGATCTTTCTGTCAGTACGTTTAAGTATCACTACGTTACAACAGGCATATCAAGCTGAGTGTAATACGGTTAACTAGGTCCTTTCATACGAGCCTAAGAATTGTCTGAAGTCAATGAATAAATTTTGACAGAAACTACATTCAGTCTCCTTAGATCAGTCTTATGATTCATTTAGATAAGAAAGAAATTGAATGCTCTTATGATAACTGAACAGACAGAGACTGACTAAACACTTCGATCTACAGGGAACTATTTAAATTAGTCGTCTTACTTGAGAAAATCTAAAATAATTGGTGACTTCTCAGTTCTCAATGAACGTGAAGCGATCAGAATATCATCATTTTTAAGTACAGAATCACACTTTCCAAGAATACACAATGTTTGGTGATAATAGTTTGATTATGTGATACAGTATGTGTTTTCAGGAAACTACAGATACTACTATGTAGGATCTATCCACTGAATAAGACAGTATTTTTATGGGTTGGGAATGAAGATGAGTCAAAAATGCACCTCAAAAACAAGTCATACAACCTAATTAGAAGTATAAAAATACAAAAACATAGGTCTTCAATATTTTCATCGTCAGCCTCAACAGTTCATAAATTCATAATTTTACGATAGTGGTCGAAATAAAACACACAAAAATAAGTTGTAAGTGAATTACACAATTTTAAAATAGTAAACCTTTACATTGACCACTTCTCAAATACGTCCGAAATCTCCCAATAATAAAAAAAAAACACTTTTACTGGTCAAAAATTTTATAAAAACTAATCACTTAATAAAATGCATAAGTATGCAAAGAATATACATGAGATCATCACATAAAAAAGTACACATTCACAAATGCTAACGTAATCATTCTTACTATATCAGATAAAATGAAGAGAATGAAGACATACATATATCACAGTATAGATATTTTGAAAACATTTCTGCAATTATTGAATACTACATTTTACTCATAATAACTAGTATTAATCGAGTAGCATAGAAACTAATAACGAACAAAATGCTAATAGTTAAGTGGTATATAACAGTTCCTCACTATTTACACATGTTATGTATATACATATTTTTTTTATTAAATCACAATAATAACAAGAAAAATAAGTGAAAAAGAGAGGATGGAGATAATGAAAATGATATCGGGAAAATAAATTATTTTTACAATTTTTTATTTGTTTGAAATGAATAAAGGAAACAGATGTTCTAAATTAATCCACACCTCTAAACGTGCTGGACAATGTGTAACATCTGGTCGACGATATGATGGTCCCCAACCTTTACCTAAACTTATATGTATAATCGGATTTTTGCATAGATTGTTTTTTTTTGCCCACAAATGAGTTTTGTGCAACTCGTTAAAATCTACATTATTACTATTATTGTTATTACCACTTAAATTACTGCTGTCGCCATTATGGTTGTTACCGGAATACTGACGACAAGATGATGATGACGCTGAAGATGATGAAGAAGACTGTTGTTGCAACCAGTTTTCATAACATGAAAGGTCGAAAACTAATAGAGAATAACCGGCTGGTACACGATATACGGGTCTATCGACAAGAAAGTCTTCAGTACTACTATTAAGCGATGAAGAAGAAGAGGAAGAAGAATTAGCATTATGAAACTGGAAACAAGGTGATGATACAAATATAGGTAAGTTTGTAGCCATCGCTTGATTACTTAACCATACACAACCATAAGTGGTAAGTGTAAGCGAAATTCCCTGGCTGCCTAGACGACAACATTGTCTCCAACCAGAAGATGATTTATACATTGATGAATGAACAATTAAATTTGGTATAAGAGATGCATTGTTGAATGAATCCACATAGTTATAACACTTTTTGCATTGTTTTGAAGATGATCTGATGATACTACTGTTATTACCAATAATCCTATTCGTATGACAAGCGATAGAGGGAGTGGTCGAATAATTCTCGAGTTCATTAAAACTTCTATTACAATCTGATTTACAATTATATTTTACATGATTTGATTGATATAAAGTTAGTAAAGATAAATATATATAATCACTTTGAGATTTACTTCTATAATTTGAATGATTTTCCTTATGTATATATGCTTGTTTCGGAGATGAATACAGCTTGTCCTTTACATCACTATTATTATGGTCATCATCATTAATATTAACATCATTGTAGACAATATTTAATTTACGATTTGTAATTTGATACCATCTACGTCCAACATGATGATGTGATTCCCAATAGGAAATATTTGCCCATGGTTTAAGATGGTGTAGAGGAGCGGGAGAAGAAAGACGACTATGTAGGTAAGATTTCTCATTATTTATTGTAACAGAATGATCGCTGATAGAAATAAATCGGTTAAAATGTAGATTAGAATTTTGTAAAGGGTTGTCATTTCTAGGGTTGTTAGAAGATAAGATGAAACTACAACTATGCATTTCATCATCAGAACTACTTACAGATGTGGAAGTAGTTGTTGTTGTTGGTGGTGAAAGTAGTGTTGTATGATTGAAATCTGTGGATGGAACCAAGTAAGTAGATAATTTAAAATTTCTATTGTTTCTCAATTTCTTCCATTTGGTTAAAGATGAAACAGGACTTACTAAATTCATGTGCAATTTTTGTTGTATTTTATGAAGAAACTGAGGTGAACAGTAAGTCAGTTTTGTTTTTGCATAGGTATCATGATTGGCAAGCAACGGAGCTGAAGAATTATTTATAATTGGATCATATGATATAACTAAAGAATTAAAATCGAAAATACAAATATTCATGAATGATGCGCCAAACAGAATAGGATTACTTGTAAAATTACCAAAATTAAATAGTTACAGGCGTAAAGACTTCTTAATGAAACTTTCAAAAGCGAATGGATAAAATTTTGGTCATACTAAGGTCAGGAGTGAGAAATTAAGTCAAATCTGAAAACATATATATCATACATCTTTAGCTATCGCCTACTCGAATGAGCTGTTTAATATGATGGAGTGGTGGTTTAGTGGTTAAGACGTTCGACTTTCAGTTGTTAAGCTCAAGGTCCGAAACCCCTTCATCTAATCCAGTTTCAGTAACCACGTGGCATTATTAACCTTCACACTTTGAGAGTGGCTCGTACCCAAGTGCTTAGCGAATGCAAGTCAATTAAATCGAACAAAACCAGAAAATATATCTGGAGCATAAGATGATAACAACCAACCCTTTAGAGAAAACCAGGATATCTTGAAACTGTGGTTTGATTATTAATTGGATTAAACACTTAGTAGTTTCACCATTTTGCCTCCAATCATTGGGCTGTAGGTTTAAATTACATTAAAGCTCTGCTTATGGTAGCTGGTTAATATTATTAGCCTTATTAGACAAAAAACATGGCTTAAAGTCAATTACATAAAAATGTACGTTGGTACCTATTTGCGCAAATTAATGATGGATTGCTCTTCAAACAACTGGAAGGATCATATTTAAAAGGGAAACTATATGTACAAGAATTATCCTTCCACCTGGACAAAAACTATTACCACCAAATTGTAATACAAGCCTGAACTGAGAAGCCATTTTTTAACCAGTGATTGTTTACCACAAAAGATACCATATTAACGCTATTCCGTATTTATTTAAACCATTGACATATCTATATATTCGGCTTTATAAACGTAATAGTGTATTCTTTATCTTTAACAAAATTTGAGGTATCCTAAACTGTGAACTACTAATGTTAGTTGTTTTTAATATATCGAAGCGCGATTGTCAAGACACTGTAGTATTACAATACGTGTTAATCGATAGTTATCATCGACACAGCAGCAACAGAAAGAATAAAATGACATGTAAATGATTATGAAAACATACGGTTTATACCGAATATCAAAATCTTATAACCACGATTTAATAATCCTCAGTACCATCAAGTTATGTAAGCAAATCGCTTTCGATATGGTTTTAAATATTGTGCATTCATTCCATAGAGAAACTAACAATATAGGCAAAATTTTAACAATAAAGTAGGTGTAGTACATACCACCATAAAATTTACAACAAACTAGAGCATATATATGTATATCACCCTACCTGAATCACATGACTGATCCATCCGAATTAATGAGATTTGTGTTTCTGCAGATGTCGATTCTGTTGACGATGAGGAAGATGATGACGACGAAGATAATACAGACGGTGGTAGTAATAATGGCATCATATCCTTAGGATATCCTGAATCCGTATTCAATCCCTTAAGATGAGATTCATGATTACTACAATTTGGATGATTATGTTTCAATCCAGACAAACAATATCTGTAAAATTGAAGGAATGAAATATATTAGCGAAATGATTCGATGTAGTGAAAAATTTATTTTATGTAACTCAGCAAGAAGAGAAGTCCTCAACTCTCAGCTACTTCTTTTGTTCAATATTAACTGACTTGTTAAGTGGTTATTATTAAACATAACCTTTAACATTCATTGAGGTGTCATTAGTAGTCAAACTTCATAAGTTAATATTCCCAGAAAACTACACTGAATACATTAACTTAAATGATATCAGAGGCTCTGATCGTAAAAATTAAACCTTGAATAATAACAAAATTACAAAAATACTCCAGAAATAATTGGTTTCAGTTACATATTCGACATTTCACTAGATGTCTAATGAATTCACTTATTATATTATACTAAATAAAAAGATAAACAAAACCCATTATTACTTTATGATTTGTGTAATCTTCATTTAACAAAATGTCTTGTGTACGCAATCCTAGTTAAAAATTACAGTTATTCCTACTTAGAACAAATATGACCCAATAATAAAGTGTTAGGAAATAATCAAACGAAGCAATTAGAATCTCTACTTAAGTATCATATAATTGCGTAGTCAAGCACATTTCAATACACTTAGTTTCAAGTATATACTAAAACTATTGAACACCTACTTGTAAAACGAGATGACAGAAAAAAGTCACTAAGAGAAAATAAAACTAATGACAAGAAACGCGGAGAAAAACAATAGTTGAGTTAAACAGAACAAGAATAAAAGTCCATATCTACTGAAAAAAATGGGAAGATACATATAAACTATTGTGATGTATTTTTTTACACTCAGTTAAATCTTATATACGTTTAAATCAATCAGCAAAACAGATCTGTAATTATCCTTTAAAAAATGTAAGTTTATAACTAGACATCACACTGAGTAGTAAGGTTTTCTAAATTATAATTAAAGTGTACATGAAATATGTATAATTGTAATACAAAACTATTAACCAAAATAAAGTCATTACAAGTAATAAGTGATAGTAACTTTATTGTGTAATTAAGAGAACGGTAAACCAATCTATACTGAATTAACTTAGAGAATAAGACGAATTCTCGCATTGTGTAACATGAGTAGATACATATTACGAACTCTGATAAGGTTACAGTCCAAATTACAAATAAATTTCAGAAGTGATACTTGTCGCAAATTGATATCAGTTTGGGTATCAGCGAGAACCGGGAAGGTTTCAATACCCGTCTTGTCTTAAAATAAGACTCCCTAGGTATGCACACCAATGACTCTATCGAGGATAGAAACCAGGACCTTGTAGTCTCCCAGTGAGTGTAATACTTTTAGGTTAGTGGGATAGGAAACCAAGTGGTTTACCTTTATAAATTCGGATAATCGTATATGTATTGATGACAAACTTCGAAATGAGTCTCCGAGGTTCTATTCGAAAGTTGTAGGCTATGGACACTGAGACAGTCATTACCGACAGGATTGCATAATTGTCATTCTATATCGCGAAATGATTGGGGCTATTTACGTAAACCACTGTATTTTAGCTCAGTGGTCTAAGACTAAGGAGATCAGTGCAAGACCTAAAGGTCCTCATTTCTATCCCTGATGGATCCATTATTGCAAACTTCTAAGGAGATCTAAAAGACGACGAAGTCGCTGTCAATTGTCCCCTCATTTATAATGGTAAACCAACTGATGTATATTCGTTATGAAATTGTTTTACATACCAAAGTAATTTTCATAAAACTAAACCAAACTTCAAGTGTGAAAGGGGTGGTTAAGTTGTCGGAATCAAAAAGAAGAACGACTCATATAAAGGAAGCATACCTAGGACAAATGCATTTCAGCAACGCAAAAGTACTTACTCTATTAACGTTATTAAAATTCTGTAACCAAATACAAATTCATGGTCTAAATTTTGACTTACGGACTGTTTACACTGGAATAGGCAAAGGAAACTTCGAACTTATTAAACAACTCTCGTATACATAGACTTATGAATAATCACTCCAAATAGAAGACAGCAGCACAACCGATAACATTGTTAATGACTTCAAAAGACAATGTACGGACACTTTAGATAGTAACATTAAATATTGAGCTCTTTCTATTAGATCATAGTTGGATAAACTTCTAGAGCTTGAAATTATCAGGAAAGCTCAATTAACTCATCAGTAACCATATATTATCATACAAAAAATACGTTATGTATGTTGTATTCGTAACAGATTCATCTCAGTTGGTGTATCATTTAAAACCACAGAGCACTGAATAATTGTTTTGTTATGGTATGGAGCATTTCGCCAGTTTGTATCTACCACGTCGTAAGGAATAGAAACCAGGGCCAGGAGTCCCAAAAGTAAACATCAAACAACTAGAACCAATCGATATGGATCCTAAACGAAGATCGATTTTGGACGACGAAACCGACAAATGGAAACAACCTCTTCTACAAAAGTACTTCAACTAACGTCTTCTGTTATTAATCATTAAAATGAGAAATTCACTAAAAAATCTGAATGATTATTATCATTAGAAAAACTACAGGTAATTAATTCGCTAGTGTAAAAATGCAAACAACTCGGTTAGCTTTCATTATTAATTCACTGATGCTTGAAAATTAAAACAATTATTGAAAAAGACACTCCGAAAGCAGTCAGATTACATCACGGTTACACTAAAATAAAAGGGTGATCATTATTTGGCTTTTTAACATAAAAGCTGTAATACGTACAGGAAAAATTAGTTGACATTGATTCTAATAAACCATATATAGAGTATAAACGATATGTATGAAATCATTATGATATAGAAATAACTTTGTTTTCTTTAGAACTGGTTGTTATGTTCTGTTATTACGTGAATGAAAAGAGCTAACAACAGAAAAAACTGACTCATACTCTCTGTACTTTTTTCACCGAAGCAAAATGATAAATTATATATATATAAGGGTGGGCTTGGTCTAACCAGAAAATCTACACATCTACAACAAACAGGCATACTTAGAAAAAGCGGAACAAATGACAACTGAAAACAGCACCATGAATGACACATATGAATAAACTGGCGCCAACAACAACGAGAAAAAAACGAAAGTAGACAACGCTTAAAGAGTATAAAATCTTATCTTTAATTCATCAAATTATATAAAGGTCAATAACACGAAGCTAATGATCATAATAGTAATGTACAATATATAAATATAAACAAAAACAACAGTGAAAAAAGCTCCCACCCTCCTTGCTGTTCACACACCCACACACAACATACATTAATACGCAATCATAGACACAAAGAAGCAGATAAAATGGACTCCTTTTAGTAAAAGTGAGATGAGAAACAGTAAGACTACTATACTTAGTTATGGTAGTAGTGGTACTATAATTCTCCGAAGCCACTAATACTTAACTACATTTATCTTTATCCTATTTATATAGAACTATTATCTTTTTTGTACCAATTATTGTGTAAGACAATTACGAGTATTAGAAAAACAAAGGGAATTCAGTAAAGCATACAGAAAATACCATAATGAAAAGTTCACATTATTCCTTCCTACAACAGAATCGGTAATAAGCAGATGAGAAAGAAAAAGAAATCCAGTCTAATATGTATTATATAAAATCATGCACAAATACATGGGTGAACACTACACTGACGAGTTCAAAATATTAAAAAAATGGTATATAAACATATTCGTCTGATGAACATCATCATGCATCTGTTCACATTAAAACAAATGAATAAAAGTCAAATCCGAAAATTATGATGTATATGTATATATATACCGAACTGTTTGAAGCAAATAAAATTATGTATGTATATAAATTTTTGGTAGTAATGAAGTTATATACGGGAAAAATATGTGTTATGAGAAATCTTCAGTAATAATTAATAAAAATATATCTGTTCATAGTAATGATGTATACCGACAGATGAAACGTTCAGATAACAATTTACGAAAATAAAACTTTACTTATTGTCAGTCAGTCAGTCAGCTACAACGTAGGACCAGGCACATATATGCATCGGTCCAAGTTGCCATACCTCATTAACACAACAAGATGGACACCGGATTCATAAAAGTAGTTAATTCAGAGGTGGTAATATATAAAAGAAAGATTGCATATAAGGACATAGTACAGGAAGAAAGTTAGGGGCGGCCAAACCAAAACGTGGCATCAGTGCTTAAAGTCACTAACTTCTAGTCTGAGCCATGTTGGTAGATGCAGACTACTTGGTTGGGGTCCGCGTGACTTTCGTAACCGATGGTTGGAGACTCTTGGTGACATGGCTCAGAACCGATCACAATGGCGTCAGCGTATACACTCTCTGTCAAACGTTATCAAAGGTCAAAATAGTCAGCAAATGAACAAGAATATATTTATAATAAATATTAATTATTTGAATAGGTTAGTTTCATAACGAACCGATATTAGCTGAAGAACAACTACCGACAATTATGGAGCAATGAATAACTGTTCTCTTAATATCACTTATCCCTCAGAAACATGAGTTCGTATCTCCAAAATGGATCACTTTTAGTTTTGCGGCCAAAACCGAATTAACTCACAAGTTAACACAATCACTTTAGCATGCATTATGCAGAGAGCAAGATAAAACAGAGAAAGAGGGCGAATTCAATACCATCTAGAAAATAAATTGCATTGAATATGATGGATACCATACACTGGATGAAGTAGATTCTCCCTCCAATAACGTAAACACGAATATAAACTAATTGTAAAATGATATAACATGTCATCGCTTATATCAAAGGATGAAGATAACCGCGGACATGGATATAATTAGAAAAAAGTCAAAATTCTGGGAACATGGTATTCACGTCAATTTGCAATCAAGAGGTAATATTGACATAAACTTTATTAACCAATCTTTAGGGTAAAGGTCACACAGTCACCTGTTCATGAGCCAATCAAACCAGGATATCAACAGAAAAAGAAAGAAAAATGAGACCAGTAATAATTGTGAAGACATATAATGAAAGACTAAGTCACCA